TTGCAGCGCGCGCGCGCTTTCGCCGCATCTGCGCTGTCTCACCCGCGCGCGTGCGCGCCCGCGCGCGCGCTCGCGGGCGCGCGGCCGGCCAGGCCGCGGCTCGCGCATCCTTTTCGCTGGCGAGGCTGGGTGCGCGATCCGAAGCGCCCCCTCGTCTGCGCGCGCGGGCGCCACCGAGTGGTCCAGCGAGCTGACATCGACCACCTCTGAGCCGAGCCACACACAGAGTTGCCAGCAGACAGTGAAGGAGTCCACCACGTCCAGTCTTTCGGCATATAGGCGCCCGCGCGCGCCCCCGGCCGCGCCCCGCCCCTTCGCCGCGCGACCGCCTCCTCGCGCAGCCACGTCGCAACGTCGTGCACATTTCCCGCCGTGACCCTCGCCTCGAAGCGGCCGCCCGCCGGGCCATCCCCCTGAGACGGTTTCCCCAGCGGGGGGGGGGAGGGGCTGCCACTGCGCGCGCCCGCGACCGCGCTCCCGCGCCTTCAGGGCGCCGGCAACCAGCGCGCGCGCGAACCCCTTGGCCCCTTCGCAAGCCCGCATAAGAATCAGGACTGACCGAATGGCCCTGAAATCAAAAGCCAGCGCGCCGGCACGGTGACCAAACCGCCATGGGAAAGTCGCGCGCCATGGGGGGGCGGCGGCCACTGGGCTCCAGCCGCCGCGCACGCCTGCCCGTGGAGCTCCACCGCCGCAGCGCACTGCTGAGCGACCATCTGAATCTGGCGCATCTTGACCGCGCTCAGCCCCGCGGGGCGGGCGATCTCAGCCCGCCTGCGCGGAGCGCCTGCCATCGCGGCCCTGGCCAGAGGGCGGGGTGCGGATGGGGCCGCGGAGCAGAGACGGCGCGCGCGATCCCCCGGACGCGCCATCTCCCGCTGCGAAGCCACGATGCACAAACTAGGCGGATGCTGTGCATGTCCGTGAGTGCCGCTGCCAGCGCTGCCGCTACCGGCAACCCCCGCGCACCGACGCGGCCCACATGCGCGCCGCGGCCCCCCCCCGCGCACCGTCGCGGCGCGCCTGCCTAGTGGCCCTCGCAGCTGTGATCGCGGACAGGGCCGGCAACGCTTTCCTGGGTGCGTCGCTCTGCGCGCGCTCGCGGACCCGCCGGCAGGATTGTCGCGCCGCCGGCAGGCGGATGCGCTAGCTCTGCTGAGAAGGCCCCTGGCCCAAAAGATCCATCCCCGCTGCGCGAATTTCCCTGCGGCGCAAAAGCTCCACCCCCTTGCCCAAAAGGAGCAACAAGACGATGCCACCACTCCTGGCAACTATGCGCCTGCTGGTTCCCTCTGAAGTGCCGCTAAGTGCCGCGGTGCTGCAAGGCTTCGCCGCCGCGCGGCTCCGCGAACACGCCCGACGCCGCTCCCAAAAGCAAGACAGCGAGAAGGGAAAGCGGCCCGCGCGCGACGAGACCGAGACGCCAGCTGCGGGGACACTCGCGAATTATTCACTCCCACCACGCGTCGCAGACCCCGTTGACCTTGCCGGGCGCGGGGCCATTGGCGCAGACGCAACCCAGGAATCAAAGACACAATTGCCGCGGGGCCGTTCCAGGCAGTTGCCTCGCGCGAAGCTAGAAAATGGCCTAACCAACCCGCGACGTAGAGCGCAGCGAGACCGCAGCCGAGGCCAGATTCACCAGGAAGAGGGCCCTCACAACTGGCACTGGCCGCTGCGCGAGCAGAGCCCCACGACCAAAGACGCGCGCCACTTCCCGATCAACAAAAACAGCACCCGCACTGCTTTATACCAGCCACGCGGGGCCCAGCGGCCAGGAGATGGGCGACGCGGGGGCGACGACGACTGCATCAGAGGTAAACGACCAAAGACGCGCGCCACTTCCCGATCAAAAAACAGCACCCGCACTGCTCTACCAGCCAGGCGGGGCCCAGCGGCAAGGAGAGGGGCGGCGCGGGGGCGACGGCGGCTGCATATTAGAGGTAAGGGGAAGAAAAGGGAGGGCAAAGGCGAGGCGGGGCACGGCATCCGCTCGACCCGGGACGAGATCGCGACCATGTCCGGGAGCAAGACCCTCAGGGACAGCTGCGCTGTAGCAAGACCAGGGAAGCCAGCCTTGGCCGGCAGTGCCCCTGAATCCAGAAAACATACCCCCTCGACCTAGGGAACTGCGTTGCAGTAGGACCAAGGAAGCCAGCCTTGGCCAGCAATGCCCGTGACTCCCAAAAAAACAGGCCCCCTCGGCCTAGAAGTGAGAACTTCCCCGGAAAAAAAGCGCCCTCACTGCCGCCGCAGAGATTACTACGATGCGGGGGGCCGCCCAGGATTCCTTCATTCGTGTTCACTCCATTGCGTGTCTGGTCCGTGGAATACTGCTGTCTAGAAGAATAGAACAACACATGCATATGTTAGCCATCGTGGTTCCCAAATAAATGCATGCGTTCCTAGCATTATGTTGTGCAAGATGCGTGGATCAATGAATGATGTGGAAGGTGGTGCGCTTAAAGTTGTACACTCTAGGTGGTGCAAAGAGTATATGTTCGAAGCGAGTCGAAAACTCCAGAGCTCACGCAATCACCCCCTCCGCCTGCCCGCAGGTTGGCTCACAAAACCCATGCGGCAGCGATTGCGATGACTGCTTGTCGCTGGCTGGCGCATCGACGTTGCCGCCGTAGCGCGCGCAGACTCAAAGGGGCAACAGATGCCAGGCTGTAGTCCGTGGCCCAAAGAGCGCACGCCGCGGCAGCGACGCCAGCCAGCTCGATGATCGCCATGATGGACTTGGCATGCTCACCTTGTCGTCGCGCCGCCCCGGCATTGGCGGCCTCAGCATCAAAAGCCCGCAACCGCGAGTCTATGCTGGAGCTGCCGGTCACGACCTGGCCGTCGTCCATGAGCAACACGCCGGCGAACTGCAAGGGGCCCTGGGCGCGGGCGCGGGCAGCGACCCGCGCAAGCGCCAAAGCGCCCATCAGCGGACCGAGGGGATCGCCCTGCTCGGCGTCGCGATCCACAGGCAACGACTGCCTGGGTGGCAATCTGACTTGTGTGGGGCCTCGTGCCTGCCCGCACCGGCTGCACCCGGATGGCAGCATGACGCAGCGACAGCTCGCACCGCCTGCACCATTGCCGCACGCCGCTGCGCGCGGGACTGTTGAGGGGGAGCGACGGTGGGGGACCGGCTCAGGGGGGGAAGGGATGTCGACCTGGAATCGGCGATGCATCGCCGACAGATCGGCTATAGGCAGCCGATATCGAAGCCGTACAGGCTCAAGTCCGCGATCAATGGGCCATTTCGGTTGGAGGCGTCCTCATCTGCGCCTATCCCTTCATATGGTTGCTCCTGGTATCTACCACAGATGAGCCGACAAAGGCGGCGCGCCCGGTGTCGCTTTATGCGGAAACACTGGCACTCTTTGAAGAGGTCCCGATGACTGGGCTCAAGGGGTGGCCAAACTGGCAAAAAAGCGGGAGGAACGCCAAGACACCCGACCGCTTGAATTCTCGACAAGGTCTTGGACCCCGCCGCGGCACAACTGACTTGCCCGTCTACCGGCCCGTGAGGCCCCGATGCAGGGAAATCAAACCGCCGCGCCAGCTCGCCCTGCACAGCGACCGTGCGCTCGTGGATGATCAGATCCAGAGCAGCAGCCTTCTGGACCAGCGCTTCAGACATCCCAGCGTGCTAGGCGCGGATGCGCAGGGCGATTACTTAGCGCACCAGCGCATCGACTATGCTCCAGCGTGCGAGGATGCGATTGTACAACCTCAGCTATGGTTGGACATTCGGGAGCGCAGATGATACCAGGGCAGCGCAGAGGCGACGGGGCGCAGGGTGGCAGCAGAAAGGTCGGGATATAATCGAAACAGTACAGTCGCACCTTGGCCATGACCAAACTGAGGCTCAACGCAAAAACGGCCTCGGGAGTCTTGGAACGAACAGGCGGCGACTTGGGACCCTCTTGGGCCGTCTCGGGGGTTTCAAGTCTCAAGTGGCCCTGTTGGTCCTCATGCGACAATGCCCGAAAACGCCCATGGGCGCAGCCCGCCCCAGAGCGCCAGGAAGTCATACGGAGCAAGAAGATGATGAGCGACAGTGCCACCGGAGTTTGGACCTGCGGCGCGGCAGCGCGATCAACAGACGATGCCAGCCTCCGCTGCTGCCAGGACTGTGTACTGAAGCGTGGGGTGGATGCGTCTGCTCTCTGGGGCATCAGCCCCTGTCTTGAACTTGTGGCATCTGTGGGACGCAAAGACATTCATCTGATGCAAGCGGGCGCGTAGATACTCCAGCCGAAGATCCCGTTCCACATCTGGTCTGCGGCGAGAGCTAGAGGACGCGTGCAAATGACCAAGAGGGACAGCAACAACATGAACCATGCGAGGACACCTCTAGCTGCTGGTGACATCACCGGTTGGGAGCGCGCATGGCAAACAACAAAACCGACAATTCATAGCTAGGAGCCGAGCAGACGTGGCCCATGAGTCGGCCAACATCGTGAGGTGGGCCCATGCCCAGGAGGGCGGAGCTTGTGGACAAAAAAACCGCGGACCAAAGATGGGAGTCAGGGAGTTGGGGAAGGTGGGGGAGAACAGGAGGATGAGGAAGAGGCGGGGGCGAAAGCCAGAGGGAGGAGGACTGGAAGAGTGAGAAGAGAGCAAGGATAACATATAAGCATGGATAGTAAGAATCATGGATAATGAAGGTGGGGGGGGAGACGGCAAGGGGGAGGAAGGGAAGGGGTGGGGGGAGGCTGCTGGAGTCGCAACAGGGAGGCAAGTGGAGGTGGAGGGAGAAGCACGAGGGAGGGGGGCCGGAGGGGACGGGAAGGGGAAGGACAGGGAGGAGGAGCAGTAGGAGGAGAAGAAGGAGGAGGTGGGGAGGAGGACGAGAAGGGGGGATGGTGGTGGTGGTGATGGTGAGGAGGAGGAGGAGGAGGAGGAGGAGGAGTAGGAGGAGGAGGAACAGAAGGAAGAGGAAGGGGAAAGATGGGAGGATGGAAGAGAAGGAGGGCAGACTCTGTGGACCCAGCCTGGCGTCACAGCTGTGGCATGCCGCCATGCCGCTTGAGACAGCGTGAGTGGGTGCCACGCACCGCTGGCTGCCGAGACAAGGCTCTACGCGTGCGTCCTAGAAACGAGGAAGGGAGGAGGGAGGGAGGAGTAGGGAGGAGGAGGGAGGAGGGAGGAGTGAGGAGGAGGAGGGAGGAGGAGTGAGGAGGAGGGAGGAGGAGGGAGGAGTGAGGAGGAGGGGGAGGAGAACGAGGGAGCACCGCCTCCGAGAGCCACGCTCCAGTCTCTGCCTCCTTGGAGACCCGCGTGCGGAAGCTGTCGTCCAGGTCGTACAACAGGGGGCCGTGCACGACGAAGTACATCCCCTCCGCCTCTCGGGAGGAAGCCGCAGTCCAGGCACTGCCGCCCTCCTCCTCCTCCAACTCCACCTCCTCCTCCTCCTCCTCCTCCTCCACTTGGCGGCGCCTACCAAGGGGTTGCCTGAGGGGGGTGGGCTCCTACGAAGGAGGCGGGGCTCCTGAGAAGGCTGGGGGCCTTCTCAGACGGCCCCGGGGGATTCGAACAGGGCTTCAGAGAAGCCGCCGGGGCAGACAGGTGGCGCAAGAGGCCTCGAAGACGGCCCCAGAGGGCGGCGAAGAGGTCATCAATAGCCCAAGAGGGCCGACCATGGCTCCACAATTTGACCCCCGCTAAAATAGGGGGGGCCACAAGACGCCATCGGGACAGCAACCCACGTTGAAACATTGAAAGGCAAATACGATGTCAATGACTATGAGTTGCCCCTTGTTTCGGTCACGAGCCAGCCCCAATAGCCCCCGTTATCGCCCAAGACAGCCCAAAGGCGGCCCTCAAAAGTCCCCAAGATGCCGCCCAAGACGCCCAAAATGGCCCAACGAGGCCCCAAGATGGCATCAATACTCCCTCACGATGGGCCCCAGAGGCCTCAAGATGGCCTCTGTACTGTCCACGATGACCCGACCGTGGCCTCAACGTCAAGATGCCCCCGGCACCCACTGGGAACACTGAAGGGTAGGAGGTATACATCATAGAAAAAGGGAGGCAACAAAGTACACAGTAGAGCATGAGGAGTAGAGGGTAGAACCATGAGGCAGACTGAGCTGTAGACAGAGCCGAAGAGAATAATCTGTATACAGAAGAGTAGAGCGAATAGGAAGAGGAGTGGAGCGTAGCCATGATTTTCTCTCTGTGGCCACCAGCGCGCGACATGTACATGTCACGGTCAAGCACATGATTGAGCTGCGCGGTGGGGTGCATTTTCTTGTGATGTATCGACGGTGACTGTTTCACTAGTCGCGCAAGGAAGGTTGCTCTCTCCCCTCCTCTCCCGTCGCTTCATCCTCCCCGAAGTAGGTCGGGCATGTCCCCCTACAGGCAGATGTTTTACGAAGGCTAAGAACATACTCAAACATGTTCAAGCATATTGGCTCCAACATAATATTTATTTCGCACCCACACGCAACAAGTACTCCAAACATGTTCCAAATATTTAAAAAATTCGTCCCCACTGGATTGTTTGACTATGTTCGGAGATCCCCCCCTGTAGTGTGACAGGCCCGACTGAATCCTCGATTCGTTCCGAAGAGTGGAGTTGTCTCAGAGAGCCGTTCTCTGAGCCTTGGCCCCGAAGACGAACAGATTGTCCCCCTTCACCAGCACTGAGAAGTTTGCGCAGGTCATGCAAATCTCCTCCCACATCGCTATATCAGTGTTGGAGCAAAAATTGAGCAGAGGGTGCTCCAAGAAGTGTGGGTTGCAGAGCTGCAGCTGGAGCGTGTGTCGCAGGGACAATGAGAGCATGTCGAGCACCCCTGGCGACTGTAGGTCCTTGACCACTAGCGGGCGTCGGTGCATCAACTTCACTTTCACCTGCTTGCACACTTGCATCCTGATCTCTGGGTGAATGTGCGACCTGTGCAGGGACGACACCATCTCTCCGCCAACTATTCCTCCTCATCATTCCTCCTCCTCCTCCTCGTCCCTCGCATCATACTCCTCATACTCCTCTGCTGGTGGAACTTTGGACCTGTGCAAGAACGCGGAGAGCCTCCCCATCTCCCGGCTGTGTCCCTGCATGTCGATCTTCAACTGCGCCACGCTCGCAGAGATCGCCGAAACCAGGGTGGAAAATACCATCAGGCCACCCATGAGGCAGCAGATGTTGAAAATCCTCTCTGCAACGTTCCTCCTCCACCTCCTGCGACTCTTCCAACTCCTCCACCTCCGCATCCTTTATCACCCTCCTCTTCCTCCTCCTACTCCTCCTGACGAAGCAGCAGATATAGAAGGTCCTCTCCACGCTGTTCACTGGGACGACCTGCATGGAGCCGGGCGTCATCTGAGTCAGGCTCCTGGGAGGGCAGCCGGCAATGCACCGGTACCAGCCCTGCCTCTGCCGTCCAGGACAACAACACTTCTCACCTCTCCCGGTTTAGCTAGCTCCCCCATCACCGCAGCCTTCTCCTGCCCCTCCCCCCCCCTCTCCTCCTCCTCCTCCTCCTCCGCCTCCTCCTCCTCCTCCTCCTCCTCCTCCTCCTGCTACTCCTCCTCCTTCGCTTGTCCTCCGTATCCTCCCCCTTCTCATCCTCCCAATCGGCTCCTCCTCCTCCTCCTCCTCCTCCTCCTCCCGCTCCCCAATAGCTCCAATGAAACGCCGTAGTGTACTGGTACGACACCCCGTATGCGGAGTACGTGGGGCCTTCCCCCGTCGCACCTGCCAAATTCATCCAGGTGTAGCCCGTGTCGGACACAGCGTCCTATGAAGAGGATGTGAAAGGTAAACGGAGAAAAAGTGGGAGGAAAAGAGGATGGGGAGAACGCTGAGGTGGATAGAGAACGAGAATATGGAGCAGTAAGGAAGGATAAGAAACATAGGAAGAGGAAGAGGAGGATGAGAAAATTGAGCGGACCAGGATAACGGGAGGAGAGGAGTGGGGGGGGGCATGCAGAATGACGAGGGAGAGGAGAAGGACCTGCGCTGGAGAAGGAGAATGATCCTCCCGCCCCAGGAAGCACCAGAAGCAAGCGATCGTGTGGTTGATCCAGACGAGAATGGCGGCGAACTTGCCAATGTTGAGGAGCGACCCAGTGAGCGCCTGAAAGAATTTCTGCGATTGGACAATATTGGTATTCTCCTCCTGCTTCCCCACCCCCCTCCCCTTCATCCGCCAGCTTCGAACGACCCACTGAGCGCCTTCACCCAAACTGTGTGATCCGCCGAATCCCGCGTGGGGGGTGACAACAACGCGTGTGAGATCGTGGATATCCTCCTGCTCCCCTTCCTCACTGGTCCTAAGTGCTGTTCGAAGGGAACTCGTCAACCACGATGTTGGAGTCGTCGGAACGGCGCAAGCCTCCAGAATAGGAGTTCCCCAACCGATCCAACGTGACACGGAGGTTTCGCGCACGCATCACCCCCGTAATCCGCACAACGCGCCCAATCTTAAACATGCGGATGAACGCAGCAGGAAGCGCGCCAGAGTTCTGGAATCGCCGAAGGATGTGCGATGCAATGTCTACCGTCAGCGTGAAGAAGTCCAAGAAGAAGCTGCCCCGCAAGTAATTGCGAGCGATCCTTCCAGGACGCATGTGGAGGTGCCCATCCTCGTAATAGCCAGTCCTGGAGCGGGAAAGGGGCAGGAGGGAAGAGGCGGAGCCTCGCCATCGCTCGGACGTCCATTCCCTGTGCTTTGTTAGGTTTCCTGCGTGGCTTTTTCGCCAAATGATCAAGGATGCTCCTAGATGGTCCTCGCCGAAGGAAAAATGCACACGTCCGAGCGATGCCAAGGGAGCAGGTTCAGCAGATAGATGGCAGGCGAACGTCCTGGAGTCCACAAGGAGGCTCCTGCCATTTTCTCGCACGCCCGGACATGCGTGGTCGCGACAGGCGGGAAATGAGATCTCGGGGCTGTTCGCTGAACATGCATCCTCACGGTATCTGACGAGGGCCCCGTGTTGCCAAGCATTGCCACACTATTGCCACAATGAGTGGCCCGAGTGCAGTGTCCGACATGGGACATGGCTAGCACTTCCGCAGGGGCCCCGCAAGAGGCCAACACCACTGAACGTATGTGCTGCCCAATGTTTCTATTGACCCTCCTCTTGTCGGCCTCGATTGGGCGTGTTTACCCTCCTCTTGTCGGCCTCGATTGGACATGTGAGGCCCGATGGTCCCCAAGTCGGCCCACAAGACAGCCCCTCGGGAGGCCTATGCTCCCCCAAGACGGCTGCTGGACAGAAACGGTTCGGAGTAGCAGGGAGCGTCTGGTTTTGACAGCCTGGGTCCTTCTTGGAGCCCTCTCGGCCCCCCCAGGATTTCGTAGGATTGCCGATGCTCTCCTAGGATTCCTGGGATGTCCTAGGATATCCTGGGAGTTCCCTAGGAGTTCCCAGGCCGTGCCCTGGGAGCGCCCACGCGGCTGCCCTGGCTGCTGGGCCATCCTGGAGCCGCTCCGCCGCCTTCCCGAGGCTGCTGCGCCTCCTCCTGGCGCTCTCTGCCCCTGCCCGCTCTGCAGCAGACATGGCTCGTGCGACTCCTGCGGCACTGCCTCGTGGCCCCTCTGCTTTTTTGTATTTGCTTTTTGTTTGATTTTTGTTGGGTTGGTTTTTTGTTTGTAAAAATACTTAGAACACATTCAAACAACTTATTCAAGAATAGTAAGAAAAAGAACGTCCCCAAGCTATTATTTGACAATTTTTGAACACTCCTCCTGTAGAGGGACAGGCTCGACTGCACCCTGTGCGCAAGCTAACAAAAGGCACGCTTCGACCGCGGAGAACCTAGAATCTGCTCGCCCCACGGACTTGGCCATCGCTCGGACGTCTATTCCCTGTGCTTTTTCTCGGTTTCGTGCGTGTTTTTTTTCGCCAGGTGATCAAGAATGCTCCTCGATGGTCCTCGCCGGGGAAAAACGCACACGCCCGAGCGATGCCAAGCGGCAACATGGGCCAGGGGCATGCGAGGCTCCTCCTGCAGGGACGGGGCCGCCCCGCCCGACGGCCCCGCCACTTCCGCGGCATCGTCCCCGGACGGTGCCGGATCTGGGCACGGCCCCCTGGGGGGCCGAAGGAGGCAAGGCAGCTCGTCAGCTCTCCACTGGGCATCGCTCGGACGTCCATGCCCTGTGCTTTTTGTTTCGGTTTCGTGCGTGGCTTTTTCTCGCCAGATGATCAAGGATGCTCCTCGATGGTTCTCGCCGAGGGAAAAAACGTACACGTCCGAGCGATGCCAAGCCTGGGGGCCGAAGAAGGCAGGACAGCTCGTCAACTCTCCACCCTGTTTCCGTGGCGTCCCTGGATGCACCCAGATGTCTATGGCGACGCTGGGGAGGTCGGCTAAGGGCCAGGCACGTCCAAAAGCACAGAACATCTGACGCCGTCATAGATCAGCGAGGCACGCTTCCTGCATGGGGGCTGCTGCGGAGAAGCTGGACAAGGTAGAAGTGAACCACCCCAAGAACATGAACAATACGAGAAAATGGCTTGGGCTGGGAAACAGCTAGCAGGCGCTCAACCGTCCCCGAAACCGTTCGCAAAAGGACGCCAAAGCTTGAAAAACTCAAGGAACATGGCTGGGGCTGGAAATAGTGGAAGGGCTGGCCCCAGCCACTCGTTCCAGCTTCCCTGTGCCTCTGCGCGCACAAGCCTCGCGCACCCTTCGGGTCGAGATGGAGAAGGCCCACGACGCCCTTTCGGTGGGCCCGATGCGGCTCCAGCACGGGTCAGGACACGCTGGGATATGCATTGGCCAGGTCGCCTCAAGATCCGACAAGGTTCGCTCCAGCATGGCAAACAACATTCGCGGTTGATACCAGAATAGCCCTCAGCTAGAAGCCCCTAGATGGCTCCAACATGGGACTGGAGACAACTCATGAGGCCCTCCTCGGATGCTAAGCGCTGAGATAATTGAAAGCCTGTGTGGTACTAGGGCTTGTTTATAGTCCCACCCGCTTACAGTGAGTTTGGAGTGTGAAGCTGCCTGATGGGCCCGATGGGATCCGCTCACTGGCCCTGTGATGGTCGCCTTCAGCTACCGCAGGAGCGAATCGGGCGGCCGCTGAACGCAAAGCGACCTCAGCCCGCCCGACCGTGTGAACCGAGGAACGAGTGGTTCTTTTCTCGCCTGTTTCGCCTGGTATTGCTCTCCTTGAGAGTACACACGCTACAGAAAGCCCCGCTGTGATAAACAACCAGCCCATTATTAACGACCTCATGCCCATGTCCTTGGAGGAGGTCAGTGGGCTTTCAGCCTGGCAAGACCCCCCCCCGACCGACGCGGCGCAGCGGAAGCCGTCATGGAGGGGCACGTGTTTCGCCAACTCCCGAGGGCGCGCCATGGCAGATGCACCCCTGGAGCCGAGCCTGGCAAGAGCCCTCGACCCGGCGCGGCGGAAGCCGTCAAGAGGGGGGGGGGGCACATATTTCGCCAACTCCCGAGGCCGCGCTGTGGCAGAAGCACCCCTGGAGCAGTCGGGGACTGCCGCATGGCGCGCGCCTGCAGGCCGCTTCTGATAGCACGTGTCGGTTGACCCCAGGCCCAGGCAGGATCATCGGTGCCGTCCTCCTCGTCTTCCTCGTCCACGTCCTCGTCCTCGTCCTCGACCTCATCATCGTCGTCGTCGTCGTTGTCCTCCTCCTCCTCCTCCTCCTCCTGCTCTTCCTCCTCCTCCTCCTCCTCCTTATCCTCCTTCTCCTCCTTCTTCTCCTCCTCCTCCTCCTTCTCCTCCTCCTCCTCCTTATCCTCCTTCTCCTCCTTCTTCTCCTCCTCCTCCTTCTCCTCCTCCTCCTCCTCCTCCTCCTCCTCCTCCTCCTCCTCCTCCCCCCCTCTCGTCACCCCCATCCTCCGCCTCCACGCACTGCGCCGCTGCCGTGTAGCACGGCTTATCGATGCCATGTGGGCAGTGCCCACAGCGGGCCCCAAGACTGGGCCCAGAGCAGATCTACACTAGATCACGTCGGTACTCTGAACTGTGAAGGGGCCCTGGGACACACAAATAAATAGACACGCATAACAGGATTCCCCATAGTTTCCCAAATGTTATGGGTGTTTGTCTTTCCCCCCACTGCCTATCTGTTCCTATATTTTCTTGGGAATTGACGACTGATTGTGTCTGTGTGCTTTGTTCGTCCTGGAAATGTCACCAACATGTCTCGGACAACCCATAAGCGCCCGAAGAAGCCATAAGGAACCGACCCAACTCGGCTGGAAGGTGTTGATGTGTTCGAAGCGCGCTGCGATTTTTTCGGATACTTGCTCGCAGCCCTGGGTCGTACGAAGCCGACTGGCAATCGCTATTGGGTACATGCGATGGTACGCAAGGCCGTCGCGAGCACGTCGTGAGCCGCCAAGGGCTCTGCTGAAAACCGGGGGCCTTTTTCTCTCGGAGCCGTTGGGGGCTCCGCAGGCCATCTTGGAGCCCCAGTGGGGGACCCAGGAGGGGGTCATGTCCGATCCCTGTTGGGCGCCACTTTCCAGGACGGCGACTGCATGATTGAGCTTCGAAGCGTCA